TTCATTTGAGTAAAAGGCCGATTTTGCTTTCAATAAAACTCACCTTGATATTTCCAGTTTGACTAAGAGTAAGCGCGGTTAAACCAAGAACCGCCAAATTGAGTCAATGGCGATCAGATTCAGTGACTACATAGGGACAGGTACAGCAGCTTAAACAAAGTCACAAGGTTATAGAGAGATCGCTCCTTCCATCAGTAGTGCGTCACTCCTGCAATACAGCAGCGTGGACAAACGGAAGAACTTTAACATGCGATATAATAATAGTGCCTAGTTATAGTGCGCACAAATCCACGCTCGTAAATATGCTCATGGCGCTTGATAAACATATTTATCATTCACTATCTGTATTTTCATCATGTATTCTGCAGTATTTAACTCCAGCAGGTCTCTCGCTCTGTTTCTGGACGCATTGACTTTCTGGACGTATTGACTTTCTGGACGCATTGACTTTCTAAACGTATTGACTTTTTGGACGTATTGACATACAAGTTTTGAAAACATGATTTGAAATACTTTAAATTTTTTTATTCCAGATACCATCTAAGTATATAAAAGGAAATTCAGACAATGCACACATTTTTGACTTGACGACGTAAAACTATATCAGAATTACATCTGAGAATACAGTATTGTTTTTAGATACACCATTCAGTTAAGCATTGAAAGTTTTGATTGTTAAACATCCTACGTAATCCTCGGAACATCGTCCAGCTGTAATACCACTAAACAAATACATACTCATGATATAGTCACAATTGCACAATCGACTCTGCTTTTAGCATAGATTTCTTATGGATGTGGAAACGTTTTTGTCGCTTCTATTTGTTTGTGGCGGTGTCCTTCTCATAGGGATTGGTCTTGACCCAGAATGTATGTAAACCATGTTATCACTTCATGTCTGAAATACGCGTAGTCACTGAATTCTCTGATTCTTTGATTTTCTATCTCGTAAATACAACATGCATTTATACTTTTTGAGAATTCATGGTTATATGATATTTGAAACCAACACTTATTTCACAGCCTCGAATTGAAAATCCACAACATTCCCTTCATGGGTGTACATCAAATATTAACGTGAGCTTTAATCAAGCATCACTCACTTTGGTAGGCTACGTATGACAAAACAGTGCATGTTACGAAATAGTACGAAAACCCCATTGATGTATATCTTTAAAAACAAATTCCGCCTATCAAGATGGTGACCGCGCCACCAATCTTACTGCTGGGATTGCTTTAACCACCATGGAGTTGGCGGCCACATCGGTACCTGGTGTAGCCATTCCTTCCACATCTTCTCTTTATACTGACAATCAAGCGTTGGGTTCTTTGCATTAGCAGCATCCTCTAACATTCCTCATGGAGTGCTGCGCCATGTCCTGCAGATTGTGAGGCTCACTGACTTGCTTGACACATGTCATCCCAATCACGTAGCTCGATGCCCATGCCGTTAATCACTGGATAGTCTGGTCCAGACTCGATTATTTACAGACCGCCGCCAAATAGTTGGAATATTGCTGAGTAGCAGCGTTAAAAAAACAATAACCAACCATGTGATCCATGAATATCGGGCGAATGGCAAGGGGAACTTTAATGAAAAGTGTCACGAGGTCAGTGTGCCGTACATCCTGTTTATAACGTTGATCAGGTGCTGTAATGAGATTCAACTTGCAGACTTGCATCGGTTTCAGAATTCATGTATCTTTCTGCATATTTATTTCATGTAAATGAGCATTTTGATGAAACCTTGTGTGAATAAGAAACGTTGATTTATTGTCCGACAATGTCGATTCTTACGAGCATGGTAAGCAGGGGAGAATATAGAATGTTGTTTCACTCGGGCGCTTAATTAATGCTCACGTGTATAGTTCAATATATTTTGTTATTTTTCATATATAACTACCCGTTTCATAATTGCAAGTATGGTGCCACGTCGAGATGGATATGTTGCTGTACAGGCGAGGTAAAGGTTGTGAGTATTGTCAGATTAATGGAGAATGCAATGGACGCCAATCACAGACGCTTTCTGTGTTTTTATGGTGCTGAAAAGCATAAATGAGGGTACCGATTGGAATTATTATGAGAATGGCGTTCCTGTGATGTCACGCACTGACATCTGATGTTTGACTTGGATACTTACCTTTCTGTTTCTAGAACATTTGTAGACTATCTCAAGAGATGTGCAACACACGAAAGTTCACTAGAACTCTCATCTCACATCATGATTTCCGATGATCTTGCTAATAGAGTTAATGATACCGTGAACAGTTTCAAGTTCATAAAAACTGAACATGTTGAAGTTATTGATGATGTACATGTGTCGTCCAAAACTGAAGAAGCTTCCGTTTGTTCTTGAAGGAGCAGACACTCACGAAGTTCAAGTCGTTGTTCAACCAGCTCAAGTGTTCTTCTCGCTAAGAGTAAGGCTAAGGCAGAAGGTGCTCGAACTCGTTTACAGTTTGCTGAAAGGGAATTTCAGTTGAAATTGAAACAAGCAGAATGTGTGGCAGACTTAGAGTTACTTACACACAAGAAAGACCTTGCTGTAGCAGAGGCAGAGCTTTCAGTGGTGCAAGAGGAGATTGGGGAGCAAACGTTTGTCAAAGATCGTAACGTCACTACGGTTACGGAGAAATTAATTCCTACTGAGCCAAGCCATACAATTCTAGCTGAAAACCAACAGTCATTAAGTGGAAATCATATTCCTCCAGGACATGTGAACCATGAAACAGTTAGATCTAGGAGCTTGGACGATGACCTCTCATTCAATGTAAATGCTCCGGAATTCGTCCCAGTTCGACAACATCCGATGCCAACACAAGCTTCAGATCTCACAAGTTACCTTTTAAAAAGGGATCTTCTCAATCTCAGGCTTACTAAATTCAGCGAAAATCCTGCTGAATACCAAATGTGGAAAACAGGGTTTAGGAACATAGGAAGTGAACTGAACTTGTCTCAAGAAGAAATGGAACTTCTCGTTAGGTGGTTAGGTGTAGAATCTGGAAGGTATGCAAGTAGTATACGATCGTCCAACCCTCATGATCAAGTCACAGGACTCAAGCGAATATGGGCACGACTGGATGAACGCTACGGCAGTCCTGAAGCCGTGGAAGCCACGGTCAAGAAGAAATTGTTCAAGTTTGAAAGGGTCACAAGCAAAGACTATCAGAAACTGTATGATTTGTGTGACATCTTATGTGAAATAGAGTCCCTAAAAGAAGATGAACACTTCAAGAATGTATTTGCTTATTTCGATTCAACCCATATTGCAAAAGTTACCACCCTTCATTCAAGGCAAATGGACTGACAGGGCCTCACACCACAAGAGACAGAACAAGGTTACGTTTCAAGTTTCAAGTTTGAGGTTCAGGATAAAGTTTTTCCCCAGAAAGATTTCAGGTTCAGAACTCCAGTGTCAGTGAAAAAGACAGATGTTGAACAAAATGGAAATCCCTCTCTCCAACAAGCACGGCCACAAGCCAAGGATGTACCATATTGTCCCATTCATAAGGCGCATCACACACTGGGAAAGTGTCGCACCTTCAGGGCTTTTCCGTATGATGAAAAGAAACAGTTTCTTAGCAAGCACCGCCTGTGCTTCAGGTGTTGTGAATCTGACAAACTTTTTAGCAAACAGCTGTACCCAGTTTATAAGGTGTGATGAATGTAACAGTGATAAACATTGCACTGCGATGCATGTTTCCTGCTCCTTGTGTGAAAAGACCTCTCAAGGTACGGATTCTCACGGCGGGGAGACACAGGTGAAGGTTGCCTCCAAATGCTCACAAGTTTGTGGTGGCAGATTTCAGGGGAAATCTTGCGCAAAAACAATATTGGCTAAAATCTTCCCTCAAGGGCATAAGATGAATCCCATCCATGCCTATGTGATCATTGATGACCAAAGTAATAGAACTCTAGCAAAGCCCAAGTTATTGGACAGGTTAGATGTGACATCTCAGACTCTAGCATATCTTTCATCTTCGTGCAATGGAAGCACTACAACTTATGGAAGACAAGCTTCAGGATTGGTGATGGATTGGATGACAAGCTTTCAACTTCCTCCTGTTCTGGAATGTAAGCATATTCCAGACATGAAAGACGAGATACCGTCACCAGATGTCGTCGCACATCATTCTCATCTTGAACATCTCACAGGCTTCTTCCTTCCAGTAAACAAGGATGTTCCCATTCTCCTCCTCATAGGAAGAGACCTCCCAGAAGCACATCATGTCCTTGAACAGTGCACAGGACCATGGGGCTCACCTTTTGCTCAGCGTCTTCCTTTGGGATGGGTTGTTATAGGCGATGTCTGTTTGGGACAGACACATTCGCCTCAGACCGTAACTGTGAATAAGACATCGGTACTGACCAATGGACGTCCGTCATATTTGGAATCATGTCCAAATAACTTCAAAGTAGAGAAAGAGATAATTGAAGATGATATCTTCACTCAAGACACTATTGGTGACGAAGTGTTTGAAAGAACTAAGGATGACAATAAGATTGGACAGTCAATAGAAGACCGTCTGTTCCTTGAAATGATGGATGCTGAAATGAAAAAGGGTAACAATGGAAACTGGACAGCTCCATTACCGTTCAAACCTGGCAGAACCAGATTGCCAAACAACAGGTCTCAAGCCGAAAAGAGAGCATTTCTTTTGGATAAGAATCTGAAGAAAAATCCTCAGAAATTAAAAGATTTCGTGGAATTCATGGGAGACATATTGGATAAAGGCCATGCAGAGAAGGCACCGCACCTTCGACCTGATGAAGAATGTTGGTATCTTCCACTTTTCGGGGTGTACCACCCAAAGAATCTGACCCAACTCAGAGGGGTCTTCGATTCCTCAGCTACATTTGATGGAGTATCACTAAACAATGTCCTGATGACTGGACCAGACTTTACTAACAGTCTGTTAGGTGTGTTATTACGATTCAGGAAAGATTAAGTTGCAGTTACAGCAGACATTCAGAAAATGTTTTACAGTTTCTTCGTGAATATGGACTATCGCAACTTTTTGAGGTTCTTCTGGTATGAAGACAACAACCCTGATGCCGAAATCATTGAGTATCGAATGTGTGTACATGTGTTTGGCAACAGTACATCACCCGCAGTCGCTACATATGGTCTTCGCAAAACTGTCAGTGACTATGTGGTTCAGTGTGATGAAGATGTCAGGAGCTTCGTTGAAAAGGATTTCTATGTCGATGACGCTCTCACCTCTGTAGAAACCTGTAGAAAGGCTGTAAGTCTCTTGAAAAGAACACAAAATGTCCTCCAGTCTGAAGGTCAACTACGCCTCCACAAAATTGCTTCCAACAGAACAGAGGTCATGAAAGCTTTCCCCAAGGAAGATCTCGCCAAACATCTAAAGACCGTGGATCTCAGCAAGGAACTCCTCCCTTTATGTCACAGTCTTGGATTAGCATGGGATTTAAACAGAGATGTCTTTAGGTTTCTCATTCAAGAAGATCAACTAGACAAGCCATACACCAGAAGAGGTCTTCTATCGGTTATAAACAGCCTATTTGACCCTCTCGGCTTCCTAGCGCCATTCACAGTTAAGGGCAAAATTCTTCTTCGGGAACTTGCACGTAAAGGCACAGACTGGGACGAAATACTTCCTCCTGATCGTCAGTGTGAGTGGAACCTGTGGAGACAGTCTCTTAAGGCTGTAGAAGAGTTGAGTGTTTCATGTGCCTTTGTACCCATATCACCATCTGAGTCAGATTCAAGACAAGTTCACATTTATTGTGATGCCTCTGAAAAGGCAATTGCTTCAGTTGCCTATCTAATGGCTATGAAGGATGGACAAACTCATGTAGGTTTTGTGCTGGGTAAGGCTAAAGTAGCCCCTCTGCACTGCAACACCATTCCCAGATTAGAGTTGTGTGCTGCCGTGTTGTCCGCTGAAATTGCAGAGTTCATCAGTGAACACCTGAACATATCACTCAAGAATATGAAATTCTACACAGACAGCAAGGTAGTGCTCGGGTATATTGGCAATGATACAAGGCGCTTCTTCATTTACGTGAGCAACCGTGTTCACAAGATCAGACAAGTATCTACTCCAAGCCAGTGGAGTTACGTTCACACTTCATCAAACCCTGCAGATGCTGCTACGCGATGTGTACAAGATATGAACTTTACAGCCAACAAGTGGTTGTCTGGACCGCAACAGTCACACAGGGACAATCCTGAATCAAAAGAAGTTGTGTATCCACTTGTGAATCCTCAATCGGACAAAGAAGTGAAGCCTAAAGTAGTTACAGTCAAGACAGAAGTCAACAGATCTCTTGGTGTTAAGAATTTCGAGAAATTCTCTTCATGGACCAGACTAGTAAATGCCATCGCATTACTTAAGGATCTCGTTCAAAGGAAAAAAGGGAAGGTCGTCTCTCGGCAACAAGACTCTGTTCAGAACTTTCTATCTTCACAGATATTTATTCTCCTAGAACTTCAACGAGAAGTGTATGGTGCTGAAATCTCTTGTCTTTACAATGGTAAACCTGTTCAAAGACAAAGCCCCATCCGCGACTTATGTCCATTCCTTGATCAACATAGCCTACTCAGAGTAGGTGGACGACTCTCTAGGTCTAATCTCTCATCAGAGGAAAAGCATCCTATCATCATACCTGGTGGCAGTCATATAGCACAGTTGCTTGCTAAACACTTTCATGAACATGTCCAACATCAAGGAAGGCATCTCACAGAGGGCGCAATCAGAAATGGTGGATTCTGGATTGTTGGCGCCAAAAGACTGATTTCGTCTCTTTTACACAAGTGTGTTCTGTGTCGAAAGCTGCGTAGACCTCTGGAACATCAGAAAATGGCAGACCTGCCATCAGATCGGCTCACACCAGGAGTTCCATTTTCATCAGTAGGTGTTGACACTTTCGGTCCATGGCAAGTTGTGACAAGAAGAACCAGAGGAGGCAGCGCCAATAGTAAGCGTTGGGCAGTTCTGTTTACTTGCTTAACCATCAGGGCAATACACATTGAAGTTATAGAGGATCTAAGCAGCTCATCCTTTATCAACGCTCTCAAAAGGTTCCAATCCATCAGAGGTAAAGTGACATTATTCCGCTCCGATAGAGGCACTAATTTTGTCGGAGCCACAGATGATCTCAAGATTGATACTATTAATATGGAAGAAGGCCCAGTCCAGCGATACTTGTACAAGTCAGGATGTCAGTGGATCTTCAACGCCCCACACTCTTCTCCCATGGGTGGAGTGTGGGAGAGAATGATCGGTGTGGTGAGGAGGATTTTGGACTCTCTTCTCGCCCAGAACCCAAATCATCTTACGCACGAAGTGCTTGTAACATTTATGGCAGAAACATGTGCTATTGTGAATTCAAGACCCATCACCCCTGTTTCATCGGATCCGGATTGTGCAACAGTGTTATCTCCATCAATGATTCTGACACAGAAATCTGATTCTGTAGCTATCCCATCAGGTGAATTCACTCTGCCAATCATGTATAAACACCAACGGGCACGTGTCCAGCAGTTGGCTGATATGTTCTGGGAACGTTGGAAGAGAATATCTTCAGTTGCTACAGTTCCGCAGGAAGTGGACTGATGTGAAACAAAACTTGAAGGTCAATGACATTGTTTTGCTCAGGGACAAATCGACACACAGAAATGAGTGGCCAATGGGACGTGTTGTAAACGTGTACCCAAGTGATGATGACATTGTTCGGAAGATTGGAGTTAAAGTGTTCAAAGACAATAAGTTTGTTGTGTTCACAAGACCAGTGGCAGAAGTAGTTTTGCTAATTTCTGAGTGACTTTTTGACATTGTTTAATGTAGTAGTTCAGATCTGATACCAGTGAATTTTAGATAACTATGTGTTATATTAGTGTTAATTGGTTATGTTAGAGTAGTCGGTAGTGATATTTCATTAAATATCAGACGGGGAGTGTGATGTCACGCACTGACATCTGAGGTTTGATGTAAGCTTCACTAGAGTTGCTTCCCTTAGTTTGAGGTTGATTACCTCCCTTGGCCAGCCATGTTGTACCATGCGCTCATCAGCGACAAGTGTCGTTCTCAAGTTTGGAAGTGTTTTCTTTGCATTAAGCCTCGCACCAAGACGTAAGTTGATTTACAGTGTTATAGGATTCATTCCTCGTGTTCTTGTGATAATTATTCCATGGTATCTTCTGTATTTTATGCATTTAGAAGAAACATGCATCTCCGTAATTTGTGAGGCTCTACATAGGTAGGGTAATGCTACGCAGTAAAAACGTACATCTCTGTACTTTCGTGAGGCTCTATACAAGTGGGCTTGACATTCGTATTATATATTTTATGAAACAACTTAGAACTGTCATGGCATTTTGATATCGCAAAAATGTTTTAATTGAACCAGTAAATTAGGCTCAATGTCTGGTATTGGTGTTGTTTACACAATTAAGTATAATTTAGCTAAAGGTGTGATTACACTCATCCAATGTACAGGAATATCACACTTATAGTTCCTTTGTTATTTTACAGCTTTTACCACGTCACACGTGATTGACCTCATCATGCATAGTCTTCATGATCGTACTTTTGGTACAAATAAAGGCAGTCAAGGTTAAACTAGCTGTTGAAGACTCTTCTTTATAGTTGGAGAACAGCATAGTGATGGTCCTGCGGCAACTGGGGATCTGCACGATGAGCTAGCAAGCGATGATGACTGAACGTTCTCTGGTGGTACATAAAAGTGGCCCACCCTTATAGCTGAGGCTGCGTTTTGGTTGTAGATCCCATGACTCTCTTGGAGTGAGTGAGTATAGTGTTACGCCGCGTTTAGCAGTATTCCAGCAATATCCCGGCGGGGACACCAGAAATGGGCTTCACACATTGTACCGTGTGGGGAATCGAACCCGAGTCTTCGGCGTGACGAGAGAACGCTTTAACCACTACGCTACCCCACCGCCCCAGGATCTCATGGAGAACGAGCAGAAACGTGGATCATCTAACTCGTGTGTTTCTGCTAACTGTAGTTCATTTGTTGTTTATAGTCATATTCCAGCTATTTGGCCTGCGGTCCATAATCGGACGATATGATGACTAGAACCCCGAGTATTAATCTACGCCAAAGAGATATGATAACTTGCAACAACCAAGTCCGCGACCCTGACAGATAGAACCTGTGTCCCATCTCTTATGACAGAAATGGGTCTCTACAGATCAGTTCTAACCAGGATCTACACTTACTTTTGTTAATCCCAAGCGGTTTGTGAAAATTGTTTTATCCTCCGAAACAATTTGAACTTCAAATCCTATATAAAGAAACGTGTGCTTACCTGTTGTGTTACAATCGCGGATTGAAGAGATTAAGTAGAAGTTACTCAAATAAGCTCATTCAGGACATAAATCGTTACCTCGAAAACATGACTCAGGTACGCGTGACATGCTTCTCAAACATGTAGTGTTATTCTATATGTGTATGCTGTAGATCGTATCCATAGTAAAGCATCGCTTTTGTGCATTGCAACATTTCATGTCACGACCACGAGCACAAAAATAAGTAAATCACACATGTTGAATGTTTTCTGATGGAGCCCCAATCTTTGCTAGGGAAACAGAAGTAGTCTATAATCTTACGGCTTGAAGGAACGTCTCATGTAGATGTTTATGAAATATAAGAAAACTCGTCTGGTCGGTTTTTCAAAGGGAAATTTCCAATTGAAAATGTTTGAAATTGTTTTAAATGTAGACAGTAAATGTTATCCTGGTACATATAAAACGATGTAGATCTCGGAACTGACGTTATCTTGAGAACGCCACAATTGGTGTGAGAGTGGTAATATAGCAGGCATAATGCTGACTGCTCCGTTTAACACATCTCTCGATCTGTGCAGTGCCCACAGGAACGAGTTGAACTATTCAAGTTGACTTTTAAGAAAGATAATCGTCCGGCAATATCACTTTTAATTTCAAACGTCGAAATTGACAGTTGCAATCGATTCGAAATCGAATACTTTGTAATAAGTGACCAACCACATATACAAGGTGCCAGAGGGATTTGTTTTGTTTAACTTTTTATCTTGGGCAGTCATTTTAAGACATAGGCGGGGGATAGTGTGATGGCTAAATCGTTCGATTCCCAACAAGTGTAAAATGTGTGAAGCCCATTTCTGGGGTTCCACTGCCAGCATTTTGCTGGAATATTGTAAAAACAGCCTGCAAACATGCTCTGACACTCACGTATGCAAGGGGAGTACGTGTCACTCAGGTTGTGTTAATTTCAGGTAGTCCACTGGTTCTCTCGGCGCACCAAAGCTTCGGGTTCGCTTTTTATCATGGTTGAAATGTACGAGTGAGTGAGTTTAGTTTTACGCCGCTTTTAGCAATATTCCAGCAATATCACGACGGGGGACACTGAAATGTACGAGTCCGTTTCGGATATCCATCGGCGTGATGTCGTCGGAGTTTTGCTTAAGGCAGTGTAACACCATTCTCACTCACTCTTGTTAGATTTGTATCAGTAAATACGCAAGTTCATGTATATACTGAGGGAAACAAATAAGGGAACATCACTTCATGGCAGTGTACCTTTATTTATTCTCAGATTTCTTCCCACAGCGCTATTCAAAGCCTGTGTTGAAACCTGGAAAATATTAAAGGCACGCTTGAATTTTCCTGTGTTCCTTTATTTGCTACTCTCAGTATATTTTCAATCGGTAAATTTGAACAAGTTTGGACAAATCTTGCCGCCAAATTTAAGGAAGTAAAGTTTTGACATCAACGTATTCTGTGACACAAACACACCTGAACTATGTTGTACTTACTGTACTGGATACAGAATGTACCTGGTGTTTCAAGTAAAGGATTACTTGTCACCACGTTAAAAAAACAAAATCTTTTGTAATTCTTCTTTATTGTCGAATTACCATGATGTGTCAAAGTTTTAACGAATGAAAATTTCTCATTTACATGTGATTACGATATGTGATTGAATAAAAAGCAGTAAATAATCTGGCATCACTGAAACGGCTAGGATTTCTATATTCTAAACAAAGCATAAATGAAACAGAATTTGACAATATAACCATGAAATAAAACTGTTGAAACATTTTTTTCACTTCAGTCAAATTGACGAAGAAGGTAAGTTAACATAATCAATGTACCATTGTTTGGGCAAAAGGGGTTCTTGCACATATACAGTCCAATATTTACAGCAAGCCTTGGCAGCAGGAAGAATTACCCAAGGAGCATGAGTAGCCGTAAGCTTACAATGCACGATGTATTCCAAAGTAAATATTGCACCATCACATCTACAGGTAACATAACGTTCCGTTATAAATGCTTACAGTTACGACTGCTTTGGGTGTTTCGTTTTGTCCATAGCTACTATGATAATCTTGACAAGGAAAAAGCTTATCTCCATCCCCAGGGGAATTAAAGTTAAGATTGTGTTCAGGTTAGTCCGTCCGATGTTTTCGTCTACTATTGAAACAATAATTATAAGCTTTGCTATATATGTACTAAACGTATACTCAGTAAACTTCCTGATTACAAAAATATCGGTACTGTCAAGCGTTGTTACGAGTCCGATAAGAAACGCCAGTGCTACACTTCCACCTACGACTGGACCTAGTGGCGTGCTGGATCGGGCGCTCATCACCATAGCCAGGGTTAACAGTGTATTGCCAAGGATCCAGGTCGCAAAGGCAGCAATAGCATTCTCAACGAATAGTATGAACAGCAAGTTGTCAACGTTACGGCCTTGCTTCTGCAGCTCTATCTTATTTTCGAACCTGGTTCAGTAGCTGAGGGTAAGGCATACAAAGTAACAGATCGTCGACCCAAGAAGGGATACGAAGGCCAGTTCCAGGGCTTCTCTGTCGAGGAGGAAGAGCCAGCTGATGTAGAGAAGATCACCCAGGATGTGTACCCAGAAGAATGCGGGTTTGAAGAGGACGGGATGGAGGTAGAGAGGACCATCCGGTCCCTTCCTACAGAACAGGGTCAGCGAAAAGATGAGCCAGAGAGGTTGAAGAGCATATATGCTGATGAAGCCATAGATAGACCATCGGGCCTTCCTCAAAACGTTGTTATAAAGGTTAAACACATCGACTGTTGTAGTCAGGAATATATCTGAAATTTGATATCAAATATTTCAGTTTTGTTAATCAAAAATGCAAATCATGTATGGGGATCTGAAACATAGTCATAACAATTCCTAACAGAGATATATTCTGAAACGTGCTTCTCCTTTTGCAAGAGTGCACTCACCTGATCCTCCAAGCTCGGCAAAGAAGGTAAGTATGACTGACAGCACAAACACCAGCAGGGTCGACACGTTGAGTGGTAGAAGCAGGGACTTGCCTGAACACTTCATGTTAAAGAGGGGTCACTGAATAACAGAAAAGAAAATGAGTAGTAATGAAACCCACAGAGTGAGGGATTGGATGTTTTCTAAACGTCTCATCGTCATCATATCAGTTGCTTTGCGATTAGAATACCAACGTCATATAAATACATCAAAATTAGATTTAAAGAGCAATGTATATAAAAAAACACACACGCACACGCACGCACACGCACACGCGCACACGCGCGCACGCACACACGCACACGCACACACACGCACGCACGCACGCACACACACACATACACACACACACACACCAATGTCCACAATCATCTAGAAACGGACTACAAGCCTTCGCAACAGCCCGATAACATTACAGAGAGAAACGTGTACTGCCCTGATCTTTGGAATAAATATGTTATGGTATAAATTGCAAAAACATAACCGATAATCTAATTGGTACTTTTCACGTGTCGACAGCACAATTGTAACTGCAATATGATGTTAAAGCAGTGCCCTCAGCAATAAATACAGTGAAGCAAAAATTCACCTTGCTGAACCAGTTGTCAAGGAACATAACACTATGTTCTTATTGTTTAACATCGGTGCCAAAGGTATTTTCATTAAAGAATGTATGCACTGGTATAAAGATGTGAGCGTGCCACATTGATGGTTGCTGTCAACATGCTCTGTTAGTCAAAGGCTTGAAATTATCCAAACATGACGTGGAGGATCTCAAGGGAAAAAGATTGAACGTGAACTTTATTCAGACTGTGAGTTTTCAGGTATGGATGAATCGGATTAGGGAATTTGATGTATGCAAATTGAAACTGAGAGTTTTTCTTGAGTACTAACATTAAACTGTAATATCCATATGTTTATTCGTTATCCCAGACAATTCAGCACTGGCAACATTTTAATTTGATTTGGTAACTTTGCTAAGTTGTCTGACTGAAGACATTCTGGTTTGTCTGACTGAAGAATTGTCTAAGGGAATTTTTACACTTTCTGTAAGCCAACAGCGGTCCAAACTGGGCCACCTCGCCGTACAGGAATTTCGTCATCTCTTTGGTCACTGTTGGTTGTGTATAATACAAGCCAAAACGTAGTTATATCGTATAAACAGCTTGGAAAAGTTGTAGGATTTAGAGTAGGAACACGCATTTGGAATCCGGAACTATTAAAACATGTGTAAAAGTGCTGATTTCAATCCTTAAATGTTAATATGATAATCTGCCTTGCAATGCATACATTTTGGATATTTTCGATAATTCCAATATTACCTTATGGTTGAGAAATATGGGAAATATTACAGAATATAAAACTTTCATATTTGTGCTGTCCTTTAAGAGTCATGAATATACATGTGTTTACAAATGCACTGTCGCAGTGGCTAGAAACTCCCCAATTACGAATAAAAACAAACAGTATACCCGGTATAACCTTCATTAACATTAACGAAAATGTTTCAACATAATCGTATTAAATGGTAGAAATGTCAGGAACTCACGTGCACTGTGTTCTTGAAGTGGGTGGGCTGAAGAATTTCCATGAAATACGTTCGTGAAGTGAGTGAGCGTGCGAACGTACATTTAACGTGTGCAATGCGGGCGGACTGACAGATGCGTACCAAACACATGTTCACAAAGTGAGTGAAATTAAATACAACGTGTTCATAATGTGTGTACACTGAAGAACCATGTTGGTAAAGTGAGTGGACATATAACTTTCGTAAAGTGTTGTTACAGGCCAGATACCAGCACTGCGCCATGTGTCCGCAACTCACGCAAACGAACAGGTACAATAACACATCTGTAATAATAAACATGCGTCATTTGTGTTTGTACTTTCTTGTATATTATTCAGGAGAACAAATGTGTATTTGTATGTATTTAACACCTTACATCATCACTATTTATATTGAATTATTAACGCATGAATCGTACTTTGGACTTTCGTACTTTCCTTTGACATTTAATCTGATAACAGAAATCATTCTTGTCGAGTAATATAAACTGGGGCTCCAAACCTAAATGGAAAACACCCTATTGCTATTATTCTAATAACTATTATATTTTTTCTGGTTCAGCGTTTCAAGGTCCATCAAAGTATTTCTATCAAGATACCATTGGCTTTTTGTCAGGGTCTGCCTGTAGAGAATGCCATAAACCAGGGCATATTATTTCTGAGTTTCATAAATGAATGTTTTATTGTTGGTCATTAAATGAGGCATTACCTTTTGTAAACCAGTTCTTAAAGTATGTCGTTGTGATAGTGGAGAACCTACCTTTTGTCAGTATAGGTTTTGTCCTAGTTCCAAAGTGTAATCTATAGCCATCTTTGCTTTTCGAGCTCCAGCCTGGATTTGTTTGCTGTCTGTTCAGTCATCAGCTGATTCTGAGGTGTTGTTGGACGGTTTATATGTGGACATATTTCGTGTCATTTGGTTAGTTAAGATGAGGGTTGTCGAAACTGTTAAATGTATATACTCTTTCCATTAGAAATAACTTGGGAAGGAAAAATGTTTGGTTGATTCGGATGGTTGCCTTGAGCCTAGCCCTTTGGAAAACCCCAAGTATTTTCACTTTGTGTGTTGGTACTCATACTATGTCACAGAAAAAGTCTCCGAGAACGATTCCGATTTGGCGCAACTTTGTGCTTCGTTCTGTTGACCTGTCTAAATTTGCAACTCAAACCTCTGACACTTTGGCTGTTATGGAAAAGTTCGAATGAGGAAAGTCAGGCCACCTGATGGAAAGATTTAATAGAAATGTCCTTCCTTGTACTTATTGAGATAACAACAAAACCGAATTCAGACTAGATCAACTCCCAGCTACGTTTATGAATCACTATCAAATAAAAATGATTCTGGGAATCTCCCACGTATCTATGTGAATAATGTTCGAAAGCTTTACTGGGTCCTTGATTGGTCAACTTGATTGGTTGAACCATTTCTGAAGTTGTGAAATATGAACATCAAAGGCTGCAGCTGGATAGTTCTCGCATGAAGGGAAAGTTGAAGTCACCCCTCTTGCTATACAGCCGTACATAATGTCAATGAGGAAGTCCGACTTTTCACATATTGCTTTCTCGGTAAACTTCGAATAAACTTGGCTTTCATTTTTGACAAAATGTCCTGAGAGGTATGTAACTATATATATCCAGGTTGGTTAACAAGTGCCCAAGTTAACAAGTGCCCCATGGATCAACGAATGACGTTTTTCCTTAAGTGCGTCATTTGGGATAGCGATGTATTTAGTTGAAAAGTCAAATGTTTTGACAGAACTGATCTCGGTCCGCTTGGTAATTATAATGATGCAAGCAAGTGCTTTTAGTTCTTGAGAATCCATATAGCAATATTAATAGCAATGGTCTCAGATACTGCTTGTGAATTTCAAGAAAGTCCATCACTCTTTATACGAATTTTATGTAGCTTTGGAATCAAGTACAAAACAGAAATTGACATGTCTTCAGGTTTAAGAGTCAAGCCAAAAGCTGAGAGTACTGGTGGATGGTTTGGGCAGATTTGATTGTGGTCGTCCTTTACCTCAACCTTGGTAAGGCAAACAGTACAACGTCATGCTTACAATGATGGGTGTCCCGCAGATGCTTCTTTACAGAAAAATAGGGCTCAAGTTGCTGACAATTCCTTGGTAAAGTTATTTTGAGAGGCATTTTAAAAGTTGTTTAGAACTTCTTTATTGGAATGAGTGCGATGTTTCGGTGTAGGTACTTGCTTGATAACGGTGTCAGTATCTACACCGATACGTCGACTCATTGCAATAAAGAAGTTGACTATCTATAGACCATGGTTTTCCTTGAAAAAGTCCCTTACCGTGTTTGCTTAGGCTGTGACTATTCGGTCATCAAACTATACATCAGCTAGGTACAACTGTCCTACCAGTGAAGATCCAGGTTAGAATTGATCTTCAGCGCCCCATGCTTGTCGTAAGAGGCAACTAACGGGATCGGGTGGTCGTACCCAATTGTGATGCTCATGATGTCAGTCACTGGATTGTCTGGTCCAGACTCGATTATTTACCGACCGCCGTCATATACCTGGAATATTGCTGGGTGCGGCGTTAAAACAAACAAAAGTGGCTTGGCCAGTTCCCGGTCCACTATAACGTGTAAGGTACCATGGCAATATGTTAATATTGAGAAAATCAGTAATACAATGCTGTTTAAACACTTGCCGATCATGGCAAATGATTAGAAGGTATCATGAATGATACGACAACGTGCCTACTCAGTGTTGCCACTGTTTTTTCCTGTAGATACAGAAGCGAATTAAGGTATTGATCTAGAAATTTTGAATTTGAGTTTCGAATTGAAATTAATAACTGACTTGCATTGCCAATATATAACGGTAACATGTCCAAAATATAATGGCTGAAGACATCAGGATATGATATTTGAATTTGGCGAACTCACCCTTCTGCTTGTCGTCCCACCGTCCGGCGTCAATGTTGTTAGTGCTTGTGAAGGGGGATTATCGTGTGCGGTGTCGTGTGAATAAATAATGATTACTGATCGGATTCAGTTCACCGAACACGTAACGTGTGCTCATTTTTCTTTTCTGATACGCATTGAAGGCGAACTTGAAACAGGGCTGGAAATAGATGAACAAAATCTGTGTGTTTTATATCCATGTCTATAGACCATCCTAGTTAGCTAGTACACCGAAAAAGAACCTGCCCTGCCCTGCCCTGCCCTGCCCTGAACAAAGCGATATTAGCGCTTAGGTGACAGTAACTCCCATACCCCAACAATGACTCATGGCAGTCATAGCGTTAAGGTGTCACACATATACAACGGCACCCTGGATGGCAGCAACGTCTTCAGGAAGGCTACGCAGATAAAACCTGTACAGGTACTTTACAGAGATGTACCAACAAGTGGTAGCTTACAGAAATTTTATATGATCTACAGGTCGTTTACAGATATGAAACATCAATGACATTAATGAATCCATAAAGACTATAAACAAAAAGGAAAAAAAGAAAGAATCATTGCTTACCTCACGC